TTCGTTCAAATATAGGCCGGCTGGCTTTGGTTGCTATTATAAAATAGCGGGTGGCTACAGGCTCAGGTTACCCATTAGGAGTACCTTCACGAATGAATGTAGGACAAATATTTGAATCTTCACTCGGGTTAGCAGGGGGTTGCTAAGCAGGCGTTGAACACGTAATGAGACTCTCCCGCTCCTTCGACGGCAGCGCGGCTTAGACTGACTAAGGAGGCTTTATGATTAGGATTGACGACTTCAACTCATTTATCTAAAAATTGGTTGACTTTGACTTATATTTTATCTCCAGCTATCTTATTTTAAAAAAAATGGTTATTAATTTTTCTAATAATATAGTTTTGGTAACCACATTTAAACATTAATTGTATATAAACTTTTTAAAAATTACAGATCAATATAATCCAATTCATCTCGTTTTCGTTCATTACATCATGTCATAACTCTGTTGGATCAATCCATCCATTCACTACGACGTATGTCTGCCCATGTGCCCATACTAATGTTATGATGTCTATTAAACGAATCAAATGTGATTGAGACATATTATCTGACAGAAATTATTATAAACTCATCTTCTGTAACGAATCTTGAATCCTCAATATACTAATGATCAAGATACCGATAACTGAAAACAACATTCTAATAAGAGCATCTTCAATGGTTTCTTGATAGGTTTTTCAAAACGGAAAAACAAAATTCAACGTTTTCTTAAAAAAAACTATATTAAGCTTCCATTGCTTTTCATTTTAAAAGATTTCAACATTAATTATATTATTAAAATATTGCATATTATAAAAAAATTACGTTTTTAGTACCTGTGGTTCGTTGAAAATTTCTATTTTCGTCCTTATGGTTTTAAAATTACAATTTTCTTCTATATGGTTTATAATTCCTTAACCTTTTCAACCTTATGACTTAAAATTTATTGTTTTTTTTGTCCTTATGGTTTAAAATCCATTTCTATTTTAGTCATTCATACTTAAAAGTAGTGTTTTGGTCTCAGGGACACAAAAAGAAATGAATTGCAAACCATAAGGATGAAAAACGAAATTTAAAAGTTTAGTCAACTTCGTAAGAACGAAGCAGTGAAAGATTTAGTTGTATTATGCCTAATTATGATGTCTTTTGAATTCAATGTGTTTGAAACATGGTTCTAGAGCACTTGCATCTTGTTCCTTGTTAAAATATCGACTGTTTTGTAGGTTGGTCAGTGTTTTTTGTTTGGAACTATGAAGTCTTATGTTGTTCGGTTAGTTTCAGTCCATTTGACTTCGGTTTAGTTTCTGGTTGCTTCGAACTCTATGAAGTGTTGTTTTAGTTCTGTTTTACGTCTGTGAAGTTTTATTTTAGTTTCCCCAACTGTATGATTTAGTGGTTGTTTTGAGCAAGTACTTTAGATCGTAATAACCGTAATTAAAGAATCTCCCACGTATGCTAATGAGAGAAACGTAAGGGTTTTTTTGTTGATTTTTTGCTGTTGTAATATTCATATTATTAACTATTCACTTATTGTTTTCAAATGTATATTGTCTTTGTGATGATGCGTATACGAATACTTAAGGATTTATGGCACCGTACCTCAGTGTTAGATATCGGCTTATAGATTTTCATCGTAGACGTGAAATGAACAAGTATGAAAAGTTTAATCATTCTCATGTAAAACTTAAAAAATGTAATTGAGGTGCTTATGATGTCTTGAAAGCACGTTTTTCAATATTGAAAAGAATGACATTGTTTTCACTTTAAGTTTAAAAGGACGTTATTATTGCATGTTTTACGGTTCACAACTTCATACAAAAAGAAGGTTTAAGTGATAAGTTATTTTCTGAATATGATCAAACCAATGATCAAGGAGACGATGGAGATGATGAGGCTGAAAATGTTCAATCGCATAGGAATACCGCTGACAGAACATATATCGTTAGTTTAAGAGAAAAAATTACGACACAATTAATGCAAAATATATATATTGATTTTAGTTGTTATGTGTGAATCGATTAATGTATTTTGATAACGTTGTTATTTGTGTATATATTAACCGATAAAAACATGCATAATTACACTTTGGTTATTGAATGTGATTACGTTTATTTGATTTTTAAATATTTTCAGATAAACAAATGTTAACACGAAAACGTGGGGAAAATGACGAGTTCTAAGGTTAATCGCGAAAAAAAAATACCGAAAGAAACATAATAAAAGATATATTTGCGTTTCTTAAATTAAAAAGAAGGCGTAACAGAGTTTACATCTCGGCCCAAGCCCAAGCCCAAACCCAAGCCCAATTCACCCGAATATAAGCCCAACTCGTTTTTATTTTTATTCGTTTAAGAGTTTAATACAAATTCAGATCCAAATTTTTTGAAGTAGTGTTATTTGTAATAACTAGATTTCGGTTTTTAGTTAGATTGTCTTAAAACTTAATTGATTAATTAGGTAGTCAATCTTGTGACACGTGTGCAGTCAGTCTTATCACAAGTCGTTAGCTTAACCACTGACTCGCTGAGAAGAACGAACTCAACTTATCGCTTTACGGTTTAAGTTAGGTTTGCAAATTTAAACATTGTTGTGCGTTTAACGACGCATGCAACATATTTTAATTGAATCTTTGAATGTGTTAAAACTAGACGGTGATATATTTTAGTTGAAATGAACTGATGATTTTGTAAATTTCAACAATATACCATTTATTAGGGATAAAATAGACCATTATACGTATTCAAACGTTTGTCAGTTTACATAAACAAACAGTCTTATTAATTCAGATTTCAAAGTTCAGTACCACCTCTTATCAATCAATAGTAAAACGAGGCTTCGAACTTGAGCACGTCACAAAAAACAAACACCACCTATAGTATAAGAAAACTATTCTCGTTCTTCCTTTCAAATTAGGGGTGTTTCATCTAAACCATCAAACTACACAAATAGCCCACTCCGCACCACAAAATGTGGTTTAGAACATTCGCAGTGCAGTTTGCGGTTTGGATTTTCGTCAAATCACCCTTTGCGGTACGGTTTGCGGTTTTGAGTCACTAAACCACGGTTCTAACCGCACCGCGCCTCGTATTTTTTTATGTATTTTTAAATATATATTTATACATATAATCGTTTATAAAATAAAAACATTAATACATTATTGATTATTCATTAATTTTTCAAGTTTCCTTTTAAGTTTACACTTTACAAATTTCTTGTTCGAGTTATTTTCAATTTTGTCTTTTCTCAAAAATCGTGGTCGAAATTCTCTGTAAGTTAACTTTTATAAGATATATTTGGATTAAATTATGAACTATTTCATTTATAATACGGCTTTTTAAATTACGCATTTAGTAAGTATCAAAAGTTTTTTATTTTATGGAATATAAGAGCATCATTGTCGAGTTTATCATGAAGCTGTGATTGTATAATTAGGGTGCGTTTGGTGCGCAGACAGGACTGGACAGGACAGGACGGGACAGGACGGGACAGGACAGGACAGGACAGCTGTTCAGCGTTTGGTAAGACAGGACAGGACAAGACAGAACTGGTTAAAATGACCAATTTACCCCGTAAACCAATTCATCAACAACAACATTCAGCAATCATAATCAATTCAGCAATTATAATCAATGTAAACCAATTCATCAACAACAACATTCAGCAATCATAATCAATGTAAACCCTAAATCGATTGCTGTAATCCTCTTAGCATAAACAAGCTGGTAAAAATGTAGTTGCTGTAATCCTCTTAGCATAAACCCTAAATCGATTCAAACCTAGCAAACCCTAAATCGATTCAAACATAGCGATGGAGAAGGAGAAGGTTAGGGCAATCATGTACCTGATGAAGGAGAAGGTAATGTGATGGAGGCAGACTGTGTGTATGGACTAGAACTCCCGTCGCCGTCAAGATGGAGGGTGTGCGATGGAGGGTGTCGTCGCCGTCGAGATGGAGGGTGTGCGATGGAGGGTGTCGTCGCTGTCGAGATGGAGGGTGTACGATGGAGGGTCGCCGATTGAGGCTGTGCGATGGAGGGTCGCCGATTGAGGCTGTCGAGATGGAGGGTGTACGATGGAGGGTCGCCGATTGAGGCTGTGCTATGGAGGGTCGCCGATTGAGGGTGTGCGATGGAGGGTCGCCGATTGAGACGCTGTGAAGTACGATGGAAGAAGACGGTGGAAGGGATTGAGGGTAAAGGGGTAAAAAATTCCTTGTTCTAGTTAGTTCCAGGGGTAAAGGGTGGACTCCCTTGTCCCACCCTTGTTCTAGTTAGTTCCAGTTAGTCCCACATAAAACCATAACAAACATGGTACAAGTGTGTTCTGTTCTGTCCTGTCCCACCCTGTTCTGCCTACCAAACGCACCCTTATTGAACTGAAATGCATTACCACACCACAAGTTTATTACAGTTTGAAACATATACAGTATGGTTTACGGTTGCAGAACACTTTCCGAATGCCCATGCTTTATATATATAAAGTTGCTCTTTTTTATTTTTTTATTTTATGAAGATGTTAGAGGAAAATAAAACAAAAAGTATAAAAAAAAGTATTTAATTTAATTTAATTTAATTTAATTTAATTAAAGAAGGTAGAAAACCATGGGGTAGATGGAATGTCAATATATATATTATTGACATCTTAATCCCAATATTCATTGGACATGTTGATATGATTTGGTAGCTTTGGCCCCCACCAATTCAGTCCATGTCCATTGAACCTCCATTATTTTCATCTTTAAATAATGAATTAATAAATAGCCATATGGATACATGTCTCTTTTATTATTTTTTATTTTAAAAAATAAAAGTGATGTTTGATTGGTTTGAATTTGACTCTAAAGGTCAAAAGCATTTGGAGGTCCCAAGTTCAAATCCAAGGAGGAATAAAAATCCCTCTTTGGTCATGGAGATTCAAATGCGGTGACTCCAGGCTATCTGTAAATCAAGGATTCGTCCTGAGATTAGTCGGTTCGAATAGCGGGTTAATAAGAAAAACGCTTAAAACTTAACAAATACTTGGTGGAAATTAAAAGCTTCATCTGATTATACTTGATAAAAAAAAGGGTACAACTTGAAGTAGCATGAAGATGAACCTGGGAAAACAGGACCCTCATCCCATCAAAAACCATGGACTTTGGTTCACAAAAAACAACCACAAAAAGTGGTGTTAAATGGCACCAGCTGCAGCCATTTACCAAAGCCCAAAAACCAGGTCCACCTCCTTCACCCTCAAACCGAACCCAACCCCAACCATGACAAACAGACCCATACAAAAGACTCGAACCATACGAACCCGGAAGACTAACCTAAACTAGACAGAAAACAGAAACACTCATGACCACTTCCACAGGGTGCCTGTAATCGAAGAACCATGGACCGCAGTCGAAACAGTTTCGCTTTCAACAAAAGCGAAACTAAAAGAGCCACAAACAGGCCAAAGAATGCCCGGAAAACCAACTGCCAGCCCAAAGATCCGCCAGAAAACCACCCTATGACCGCCGTCTTTATTGTTCAAACATTCAAGAAAGGATATCGCACCTCCAGAGATTCTCGACAAGTGAATCGACTGCGCTACTGGTGACGGAATTGCATTGTTGGATGTTTAATCCAACTAGGGTTTGTCCCAATTTCTTTAAAGAAGGCAGACTTTTGTTAGAAATCTTGGAACAACCTGATAATGAAAGGATCTGCAAGTCTATCTGAACGCCTTCGGACAAACAAGAAAGTCCAGAATCTGTGATACTGCACTTTGAAACATCGAGATCGTTCAGCAACGAACAGTTTTCTGCAATCGCCATCAAACTTTCATCGGTAATCTTCCTGCCGCCTTCAAGGTTCAGAACTTTTAGGGTTTCACCATGAATCTTGGCAAGATCCACAACGATTTTATCGGTCAAGTTTATGCAATTGCTTAGATTCACCTTCACAAGTCCAGATTTGCAGTTTTCAAGAACCAGGAATACACCAGAATCAGTTATCCCGCAAAGCCCGCTTAACTCGAGGTTTTGTAGCTGTGGACATAATGTTCCAACAATCTCCAAGCTCGTGTTTCCAAACCCGATGCAGTCTTTGATCGTTAAAGATCGAAGAGATCCACATTGGGTTAAATCGGCTGTTTCTTGATCTAAATCTTTGATCCCCATACATTTCACGATCGTTAAAGATTTCAACTTTGATTCGCAATTCGAAAGAGCTCCCAAGATCCCTTGTTGGCTGATCCGATTGCATTCTTCCAACTGCAAGCATTCAAGAGATTTGGCCGATTTCGCGAAAGCCACCAATCCTTTATCGGACACAAAACAACACTTTTTAAGCAACATCTGTTTCAGCAAACAGCAGCCAGTTCCGATAGCTTCAAGGCTCAGATCGGTCATGCCATAACATGAAGTTACGATTAAGGACGTTAGCGACTGAAGACCTTTTGCGTTACCCATTGCCCAAAAGCCTTTCTGACTAGCGTTTTGAAGACTAATAAGGGCAAGATTGGAAATTGACTTCCCGTAATGCCCGACCACAGCAAGTGAGAAGTCGGTTATGTTCAAAGATTGGAGTTTCAGTTTCTTCAAAACCGAAGAAGGTGATGACAAAAGTGTAGCTACTCCTTGATCCCCAACAAGCGGGCAGTCTTTGATGGAGATCGATTGTAAATTCGGGCAGAATCGGGCAACGGATTGAAGACTCTCGTTCCCGATGTTCTTGCAAAACTCGATCGTCAAAGAAGACAAGTTCGGGCAGTTTTCGGCGATTGCAGCTATACCCTTGTTGGAAATCGAAGGGCAATGGCAAAGATCAAGCTTTTCTAGCGAATGACATTCTTTAGATATCTCGATTAAAGCTTCATCCCCGATGGAAGGAACGTTCCATAACGAAAGCACCTTAAGCGAAGGGCACCCACGAGCAATTGCCGCAAACCCCAATTTGGTAACTTTGTTACTTCCCCTGATCGAAAGCTTGCCCAAACCGCCACGGGCAGATGTACCGACGGCAATGGCTGCAAGCCGACCATCGGTTGCTTTCTTTCCTTCTAAACATCTGGTAAGAAACCCATCGTTCTCCTGAGAGATCATTTCAACATCATTTGATGATCCATTATCGGAAACAATCTCCGACTTCCTAATGGTACTCAAGACCGTGAGCCAACGTTTCGAGACACAAGCCGAAGCACTTCGGGCTTGGCCTCCGGGCAAACGTCTAAAGATCTCGTAAAGACATTCATCAGGAAGAAGGTCGATCGATTGTTTATTTTCCTCTTCGAAGAAGAGAAAGTACGAACCGCTGATTCGAAGACGTTTGCAAGGCGGACTGTAAACATCCTGATGGGATGCAACCGAAAGCAAACGGCTCGAATCTTTCGAGCAGAGGGTTCCACCGGTATGATAATCGTCCCCTGTAAGTTCGATAACAGACCCATCAGAAAACATCCAGAAATCTTTAAGATCATTGGGTGGAAAACATGAAATCAAACAGTATTTTCCACAACTCCCATAAACAATACATCATTTTTGCATTGAATACATATAAATTCCTAAATTTGAACCCTAAAGTTATGATTTCCTAGAAGATTAGGGCTTCAATATGATGATCCAAACCCTAAATATAATCTGTTAAGTGTTCTTTCTCCTAAAAATTCAATCAAATTTACAAAATCTAGGTCAATGACATCAATCCCTATTCATAAAACACAGAATTTCAAGAATCCCAAATCAAAATCAAGCTTTTTTTATAAGCTGCTAGCTATTAGAACCATAACAGTCAAGAAACCCTAATTATCAAACCAAAAATGCCAAAATCATATGAATACAGATAAACCCACAAATCAAAACCAATCAAATAGAGAAATCCAACAAGAACTGACACAAAATTCCAATCTTGAAACAAAACCAACAAGAAACTTGAGAAGAATATAGAGAAAACTAACCCCTGTAATTAACCAAAGCAGGCATCTTTGAAACTTCTGATAAAAACCCACCAAAAACACCAGATCTTTCACCAAAAAACACACAAATATGATCCAAAAACAGTTGATGTCGATTAAAAGTCCTTCGAGATTCGATTGCATTCAGAAAGAAACCCTCAACAGGGCAAAAAAAAAGAGGAAGAAGAGAGATGAAGGAATGTGGTTTTTGGTATGTTTTAAGAAGACGCAGTGGTGGTGTTGAAATAGGGATTGTGGGTTATATATAAAAGGGGATGTATGTAAATCTTGGTGAGGTGGATGGTCATCAGATGCATCAAAACCACCTCCCCCTATACATACACATACACACACAACAACACATTCATTGAATCTCTTAAAGAAAACCGGCTGTTCCGGTTGTTGTTCTGGAAATTCCCACTTGTACAAAAACTGATTTTCCTTTTATCCTGCATACGCGTCATTGACCTGTAAACCGGACGGTGCCGGTAATTATGTTCGAAGTTAAATGAATGTAACCTCTTAGCTTTTTCTCCGTAAACAGTTTAAATGACTCCTCTAGTTTTCGAATTAAATGTCATATGCATGCATGATCCATGTATGTATATATGTGATTACATGCATGCATGTATGTATATATGTGATAGGTGATGAAGGATAAAAGGAGAGTTAAAGCTAAGAAATGTAACAAGAGATCTGAACTTTTGATCATATTTAATTTTAAATTCATTTATAAATCTTGTTTGATCTGCATATCAATCATATCAGTGCATCTCATTTTAATGTGCATATAAGGGTAAAGATATTTTGTTATAAACTTCTCATGTTATTTTTTTTTTTTTCTTATCGGAACCCAACCTTGTATCTATATGTCATATGTGATAAAGAATCGTGTGAAAATATGAGTAAATGTGATAAATGTAAGGAGGGATGTGGACCCTTAATCACTTTTAATTTCAAAACAATCTATGAATTGCGTTTCAGAAGATAATTTATCTAGTGTATCACATTAGAGTTAATCTTGTGATTCTTTTCAATTATGATTGATCAAGGGTGAAAATCACTTTTTACCATTCTCACAATAACTTTCATTTTCAGTGAACCCAACCACCACACCAGTCTGGTTTTCGGCTCTGATATCATCTATGACATCTCAAGCAAATTATATAAGATATTGTCCGTTTTGTCCATACACTTAGACTCACGATTTTAAAACATGTCTTATAAAGAATGTATTCATTACCTTATATGGTAACTTTTGTTTTCCTCACTAACCAATATGAGATCTTAGATTATGTATATATCATATTACCAAAAAATTTATGTTGGTAAATGGTGAGTATATTATTTATTTTCTGAATTAAAAATAAATAATAATTATATTATTTAAAGTAATGTTAATTATTAATAATGTTACCTTTATGACATATTCTTACAAGAATTTCATAATTAATTTTGTTGGTTTGAAAAAGGGATAAGGAATTTTGACAAAAAATTGATTTTTAAATTTATTTAATCATTATATAATAATAATTGACCAACAATATCAAGTTTTTTTTATTAACTTGGATATTCAACCCGTTATGTGAACCGATTAATCATAGGGTGACCATCTGCTTTGTAGATAGCCCTGAGTCACCGTATTTGAACTTCCGCGACCATAAGGGGATTTTTATTTTACCTTGGATTTGAACTTGGGATCTCCTAATACTTTTGACCTTTGGAGTCAAGCTCAAACCAATCAAGCATCACCCTTATGGTTCAATATCAAGTTTGTTATTAGCAACTCTAAATGAAATCCAAAATTATATTTAAGATGATAAAACTGTTTTTCAATTTAAATTATTTTATTAATGAAAATATTATAACATTATTAAACATTACAGTTTAACAACAAAAATCCCAACTTTATATACATTATATAATATTATAAGGGTATTGGTATAATGCAGCGAGATACATTTCGATTTTAATGTTTTGTTTTATTTATTTATTTGGTCTAAGTCTATGTTATAATACAGGTTTATATGATTTTGAGAAAACGATAATTTTTTTATTTTTAAATAAATATAAATATGAAGATATCATAAAATTTTGAAAAATGTATATTGATATTAGTACCAAACTAACAATTTAATTTTTTTTTTTGTGTGTAATTTCTTTAATTAATAATTAAGTATTTTGTTAGAACTAAATGATTATCCTAATTATATTTTATATTTAAAATAAGATGTTTATCCTCTATTTGATTATGTCCATCTGTAGTTAGTAGGGGTAAGCACAGGCGGGTACCCGTCCTTTTTGATGGGAACCAGAACCGGAACCAGAACCGGCGGTTCTTAAGATATTGGAACCGAAACCGGAACCGGTTAGAGCGGTTCTTAAATTTTTGGAACCGGAACCAGAACCGGCGGTTCTTAAGATATTGAAACCGGAACCGGTTAGAGCGGTTCTTAAATTTTTGGAACCGGAACCAGAACCGGCGGTTCTTAAGATATTGGAACCGAAACCGGAACCGGTTAGAGCGGTTCTTAAATTTTTGGAACCGGAACCGGAACCGCCGGGAACCGGTTCCGGTTCCGGTTCCGGGTACCCGCTTCCTAAAATATTAAAATTTTGTTATTTAGAAATAAAAAATAAAACATTGCCAAAACACTAAATAAATAAGCAAGAATACAAATTATACAGAATAATGGTTACAAATATTGTTTAACGATTACAAATCATAATAGACTGATAGAAAAATGTTCAAAGTTTAACGATTACATACTATAATAGTAAATATTCAAAGTTTAACGATTACATACTATGAACCCAAATGAACACACAATTTGAAGAAATACGAATCATTCTATATGAAGAATGAAGATGACGTGTGCTTTCAAGATGTAAACCTAATATAAATTTGGTATTAGAAAATAATAATAATTTTTTTATTGAAAAATAGTGGATACCCGGCGGGTAACGGTTCCGAAAAATTGAGAACCGGAACCGGAACCATTCTCAATCGGTTCCGTATTTTAGGAATTGGAACCGGAACCACTCATATCTGTTCCGATTCCGGAACCAGCGGTTCTAAGGCAGTTCCGGTTCCATAGTCGGGTACCCGGTTCCGCTGCTCACCCCTAGTAGTTAGTTACATAAATTCAAACATGAAACTTTAATCAATTATACTTACGCACAATTTACTTGTAATCTTGAATTTTAAGTAATATGTATCAATAAACAGTACTTAATGCATAAAAAATTGTTTTTAAAAGTTTTTGTCAAATGCTTTATAATATAGTATAGATTATAAAACAGAAAACCATTCATATATAATTGTCTACAAGCATTATTCAAGGTCTTGTAGATGTTTCATTTAAGTCTTCGGGTAGCACCACTAGACCTTCAACAAGGTGGAAATTCTCGTATTCCTTATGTACACGTTCCTGCGGCTCGGATGAGTATTCTTGTTTATATCGCTGCGTTTTAATGTCATTATATTTTCCTAATTTTTATGAAAAAGAATTTATCCTTATCTATACTATATTATAAAACATTTGACAAAAACTCTTAAAAACCATTTTTTATGCATGAAGTACCATATATTGATGCATATTACATAAAATTTAAGATTACAAGTAAATTATGCATAAATACAACTTATTAAAGCTTGATTTTTGAATTAGTGTAACTAACTACGGATAAACATAATCAAATAGAAGATAAACATCTCATTTTAAAATATAAATAATCTAAAATATAATTAGGATAATTATCGAGTTCTAACAAAATAATTAATTATTATCTTTATAAGAAAATTATATTATTAAATCAAATATAAATTATTTCGTTATTGAACCTAAATTAAATTATAATAAAAAAACTGAATTTTACACAAAAAATGAGGAATTTTAAATAGTTAATTTGATACTAATATCGATATGTTTTTGTCAAATTTTTATGATATCTTCAATTTTATATTTTATTAAAAAATAAAAACATCATCGCCTTTTTCAAAATCAAATAAAACCATATTATAACATTGGCTGAGATAAATAATAAAATAAAATATTAAAATCAAGATGTATCTCACTGCATTGCACGAGTACCCTTATAGTTTTTTTTAAAATCAAAATTCTATCAGTAACCAATCTAAATATGACATTATTTAATAAGGTAATACTTTAAAAACAAAAAGAATATTAATAAATTACAAACAAATATACAATGAATATCATTTATAAAAAATGCATGTCAAAATCATAAAATAGAAAAAGTCATGCAAATTTGATCATCATAGTCAAAACAAATCAATTAGGGATGTTTGGTTAAAGTTAGCATTGTTTGGCAATTACTGAATGATTTGATGTAAAATGATTAAGTAATCATAATGATTAAGAGACTTTCATGATATAGGCTTCATTTTTCTAGAAGTCTAAATTTTTATTTCAGGTTAAAATGGGGAGAATGAAAAGTCATTCCCGTTTAAGTGTTCAGTCAACCATGTATTACAGGTTTCAGTCCTCCACATGAGTTATATTCTGTATCAAAGTAACATATTTCTTGTTATGAACCAACAAACGTTTACCTTTCAAAAATTACCAACCATAGTAGATGCTCAAACTTATATCTGTATCTTACATATGCTTACAAAATCAGTAACAGGGTTGATCACATATGTACTGCTGAAATATATATTTAAAATAAATCACTGATTGACAACTTCTCTAGTCAGTATAAATATAAATCAATTTATGAGATTAGCTTACAGTGGTACTAAAAAGCAATAAGCTGATAAGTTGTTTTTTAGTGTTTGACAAATTTTGCTTATATGTATAAAATGACCAAAAAGGACGGTCTTCCATATTATTGACTTATTTGATTTTTTAACATGTAAAAATTTATTTTTCATTATTTATAATAATTTCTTTGACAAAAATTTTATATCAATAAGATTAATAATTAATAAACATTAATAAAACAGGGTTAAAATGATAAACTGGAAATAAACAGTTTTTCATAAGTCAGGAAGGATTAACTTATCAAAAACTGATTATTACTAGTTTGATACCGGTATAAGCAGTTTTATTTTTTCTCATCCATACACTAGCATTTAGCTTATCACCGATGTCAGACTAAAATAAGTCAAAAAACACCTAAAATAAGCAATCCCAAACACCCACTTAATATATATAAAAAAAAAAAACATATGAAGAACGTATTATATTTTTGTCATAATAAAATACTGAAAATAATTGATATTAAAAAAAAGGAAATATAAATGCAATGAACCCA